GGGTACGTTCCGATATATCGAACCGTACCCAGGGTACCCTCCGATAGTACGCTGGGAGACATAGACCCTATGAGCTTTAGTTACTAGTGAGGTGAAACGTGATGACACTCTACCAAAGTACTGCAATAGGTTGGAAGCAATCAGATGTTGATCTGTAATGTTCCTTCCCAGTTCTTCAATAGTTGCCACGTAGTTGTCGTAGCATTCCCCACATGGTTCACACATCGGAAATGTTCCTGCAACAAAATTGTAGCTATGCTTGCAAGCGAATTACTGCTAACTATTACATTACATAAGTTTATATATAGTAAAATATAACACACATATATATAGTATATATGTAAATTTTATTAGTTGATATTCCAGTTATTTCAGTTGTCTCATTTGAAAGCAAAATACATTTCTGATTTTGAGATTTAAACTCAGAAAGGAGATACTCATATCGAAGGCAACCCATAAACATTACTAGCTATACTATTTTACTAATATCAGCACCAAGAGAAATTAAACGATTTTCCACGAAAAGCAACAGATAAAAACTACGTGATGCATACTACAGAGACCGGCCACATTTCACACCTCATCACATCCATACAAACACCTATACATACACGTTATACATTATAGGATATCTATGCTCACAACAGCAGACACACGGACGGCGGTCTGTTCCATAAAAACACCGCGGCATCAACCGGCGCACCTACCGAGGTAGATGACGTCGACGTATTCATACTGGTCGACGTCGGTGATTCCGCAGTGGTCGCAGTTTTGACCGATCACGTTTCGCGTCCTGCACGTGCACTGGCCCGTGTGAAGCTCACAGGCTCCGAACACGATCCCTTCTAGCTGCTCTGGATCCGAAAGCGTTCCGTTCTTGTGACAGTTACACACTGTAATTCATTGTGCGAGATTAAAATCTGAGTGGAATGAGGCGAATTACATTGATGGAGGTTAGTAGGGATCAGAGAAACAACAGTGTACACTAAAAATTGCATGTATAGATCATAGAAATAGTATACTAGTTAGACGAGTTAGAGTCTCTATATATTTCTGGGGTATGAATACTGCAAGGGAATCCGCTTAACATAGCATTTATAGGCAGATGGCCAATCCATAGCAGTGTCTGCTGGAACAGATTTGACTGTAAACAGTTACGTGTAAAACAGCACTGAGGATTTTTCAGAGAATACAAAAATTTAAGTCACAAGCAGGCATATGCTCTGCACAATCAGAACATGTAAGATCTACCAATATTGCTAGCAAGATATCCAGTTTGATATATGGAAAACTACTGAATACTGTAGATGCTGTAGAATACTATGAAAATACTGTAGATGTGAGAGTGTAGAGTGAGACTGTTGTTTTAGTTACTGTCCACCCAGATGTTATCAGGAGTAAGATAATATAGATCTATATAGATCTATATTATCTTACTCCTGATGTTATGGCTACTTACGTCTACATCCGAGTATTGACAGGTCCCAGTATCCAACTTCACAAATGTTGCATTCTCGCCCTGCGACCTGCCTCTTACATGTGCACTGGCCTGTTTCCTATCACACAACACCACACAACAAGTGGTTGTATATAAAATATGTATAGTATCTAAGACTGGCTGAATTACTCTTGCATTCAGTAATACACGTCTAGACAATTTTAAATCCGTGTTTACGATTTTTGAACCAATGTTATGTGATAATTATCATAGATGACTTCTTATATATCATACAAACAGCTAATTAACTTTCATATATGCAAACACATCTAAGGGCTATATGGTACTTACATACAGTGAAACCTGCAAATAGGTATCATTCAAGGAAAACCCCCTAAATTGTCCACTATAACACAGGTGTTCATTCACTAACGGCGTCTGCTATAACACAGGCTTGACTGCATGCATAATTCCCCGCCACAGATCGGTAATAATGCCGTAAACACATCTTACCTTGTCACATGCACTTACGACCGAGCTGACCGAGTATCTAAGACTGGCTGAATAATTACTCTTGCATTCTCTAATGCACTTACATCTGCACAATTTTATATCCGTTTACAATTTTCAAGGTTCAATTTACAACTAATTATGCTTGCAGGTTTGCCTGCATGCATAATTACCTGCCACAGATCGGTAGTAATGCCCGTAAACACATCTCACCTCGTCACACCTACGACCGAACGAGCCGACGGGGTCACAGTTGCAGGGCGCGCAGCCGACACCTGACGTGTAGTTCCACGTGAGAGCATTGCAGCTGTCGCAGTACAGACCAGAGACGTCGGGCAGGCATTCGCAGTGACCCGTCACGTGGTCACACTCACCGGTCGACCCTATTATGTCCGTGCAGTTGCACTCTGGTCGAAAAACATACCGACTGGATTTAATACATGCATGTCTAATTAATATAGACTATATATTATAGCATAAATACTAACGCTCATAGGGTCTATGTCCCCCAGGGTACTGCCGGAACGTACCCTGGACACTATTTTATATGGTTAGGGTTAGGATTAGGGTTAGAATTAGGGTTAGGGTTAGGGTTAGGGTTAGAGTTAGGGTTAAGGGGTAGGCGTAGGCGACTCCCTAGACTCGTTAGTGAAGTAGGCGAGGTACGGTCCGGCATATTAGATAGTACCAGGGTACGTTCCGGTATACCGGACTGTACCCAGGGTACGTTCCGGCAGTACCCCTGGGGACATAGACCCTCTTAGCGATACTAACAGAAAGAGAGAGATATAACTAGATATAACTGCTGTGTTCAGTAGTAATGACAATGACAATAGACAATAATACCGACAGTTAATAAACAATTATTGCATAAAAGAGATATACAAGACATATACAACAATTTTTTTAAATTACACCCCCTCAGATGCGTTTTCTGCGCGAGCAAGGGGGTGTCTGGACTCCCTGGACCCCCCCTGTACACGCCCCTGCTCGGGCGCGAAGCGACCAGGCGAGGGAGCCAAGCGACCGAGCGGGGGGAGGGTGTGGGAGGGGGGTGTTCACTGTTCACCCTCCCGCACGATGGAGATTTTGCAATTATTACACTAAAATGGAGCGACCTAAGGTGAAATTCTTGCAAATTTTCAACAACATTTTTTTTTTGCTTGGGGGGAGGCTCGGGGGGGGGGGGTTTCGTTCGAACCCCCCGAACCCCCCCTGGCTACGGGCCTGTCTATATATGATAACCTTACTGGGATCATGGACAAATATGTGAATAAATATATACTACGCCTCTAATAACCAAATAACTACAATATACATGAACGTATTTGCATCACCATACGCTACATGAGGATCATTGTGCATGCTATAAACATACCAATAATCATAATCAAAATCAAAATCTTGGTCTAGTATCACCTTTGCAGTCGAGCAGCAGAGCATTGCCGTAGTAGTGTGGTGCGCAGATATCGCATTCCTTGCCAGCAGTGTTGTTCGTGCAGTCTTCGCAGTCGCCCGTAGTCGAGTTACACGTATCCGCCCTGCTGTTGCAGCGACACTCCACACAGCGACCACCCAGGTTCTACGAAGAAACACGTACAGCTTAACGCGTGGCACATAAATGACATTCCAGGTGGAAATTTGGTTAAAAAAAATATAGGCATTTATTAAAAATATTGAATTTAATATTAATATTTAGTTATTTAAATATAGAATTTCGACCTCGGGTATGCATACGAATGCGTTTTCAGAGCTGTGGCCAAAGCAGCCGTGAAACCATAGAAATAATATAGATAGACCATTTTAGATACATAGTCTATCTATACATAGATATCTATACATAGATATCTATACATAGTTTATCTATATTATTTCTATGTGTGAGACACTGGCCATTTGATTGATAGGTGACATGAGTCTCTTTCATTTATCTGTTCGTCTAAAAGCAACTGGACTAACGAATGAACGTCTGATGTAATGATCAAAATGCAATCATATTCACACCCCCGATTGACTGAATAAACTACAGCGGCGAGCGTACCGATATGTCTTCAGGCGTTCCGTAAAATCCTTCGACACATTGCTCGCAGCGATCCCCCGTGTGTCCCAGCGTGCATGCATCACACACTGGCTCTCCATTCACCAACGAACAGCTGCAGCAAATAGAGTATCGTCATGCACCATGCACGTATAATTCCATTCAGATTTATGTGCAGTCAAACCTGCATTAGCGGACAGCTTTATAGAACGGACACCTATGTATAAAGGTTCGCCTTCTTAATTAGGTGGAATATTACATTTTCCTCGAGTGGTGGTTATATAGAGGTTTGGCTGTAGTCATATATTTCGATGTACTAGCTTGCAGACAAGGATTTAGGTCAAGTCATCGCAGTCGTACATAACCAATATTTTTCCGAATATAATAAAATTATGAGCCTCTACGTGCACGCAGCCAAATATTATTATAGACTCGAACAACCGTAACATTGCGTTTTTACTTAGACTACAGACTGAAAATAATTTACCTAAACGAAAAGCTGTTCAGTGCCGATTCGGCAAAGTTGCCGGGGCACATGCACGGACTACAGTCATTCTGTGTCTGGTCTGTAGCAACGCCATAGTAGCCACGTGCACATAAGGCACAGTGATCCCCCATAGTGTTGTCACTGCACAAGCAAACACCTGAAACACAGAACCAATAACTGATTTTATACCAACCAGAGTTATCCAACTATAAGCCTTTGTCCATAAATATTCAGTCTTATAGTGTATTCAGTTAAATTACTGAAAAAAAATCAAACAATTAAATACAATAACAATAAATCTAAAGATCCTAGCTCGATCAGAAGAGAGAAACATGCCATTGGCGTTCACTACTACGCAGCTATCAATTGGGGAGAACCAATTTTGACCAGAGATAGATAATAGAATAATAGATATGTCTCTAAGAGCTTTCATATAAAAGATTCGGAATCTAAAGAAATGAAATTTGGTCATGTCTTTGTCCAGTCTCTGCAGCCAAAATTCACAAAGAATGTTACCAAATAAACATCAATAACTCAACTAATACGATAGATTCATGATAGCTCGGCTGTACATTTTGTCTTTGTAACGGCCACCCCATCGAATTCTGTTTTCATAGAGGGTATACAAATTTTCGTAAAATCAACCGACCTGTCTCCGAGTGACATGGATCGATGGAGTGGTTATTGCAGAGACAGGGTACGCAGGGCGTGTACGGTGTGGTGGCTGTCGGCGTGGCCCGCGTGTACCCTGATGCGCAACGCTCGCAGAATTGACCCTCGTGCTCAGGGGGGCAAATGCAGCTTTCTACGTTGTTGACGCTAGGCAGGCCGGTTCTCGCGTTGACAGCGTACCGCAGAGCGGCGGAGTACAGATCCGTGTGCGAGTTGTTAACCTACAATGTGACCAAGAGTGTATATAGTTACGCAGAAATCCCATCCTTGATATATATCTATACAATATATATACACAATACAATATCTATACAATATATTGTACGCATATATAATGTATTGTAGACGTGTGATTGTATAATTGATTGTTTAGACGTATTAAAGAAGAGTGTTTGTTGTATTATAGCATGAGCATATATTATGTATTATACCAATACATATATATAATATATATATATATATATATAGAGATATATAGATATATAGTATACTATTGTATTATAGTAGCTTAGGGTACACTAAACCCTATGAAACATATATATACTTCACTATGCATATGTTCACGATAATGGTTACTCACTGAGCTGTACTTTGCTCGGACCTTGATTGCTGTAATATTCACAAGGACACTGAGGACATCAATGAACGTGGCCTCAGGCGAATTCTTGTTCTTTCCTGTCATCCACTCTTGTTCGGCGATACGCAACTACGACAAATTTCGAAAATTCACGTTAAAACAGAAAAAATATTCGGAATTCGTCCCATTTGAGCAGGTTTACCAATTTACTGAAATTCCACGACTGCTCTCATTAGCTACTAAATACATATACGTAGGATGAGTGTCATCGCGAACAAACGCATACATCGTTGGACATATGTTCATCCCGCGTGGTGTTACAGATCCAGCTAGCAGCATTCTAAGCCACACAGTGCGCTTACACACTTACTACGCGGGTAGTTCGAAAGTACATCGAAAGTACATAAGTAGATCAAAGTATATCGAAAGAATAGAAGTATATCAAAAGAATAGAAGTATATCAAAGTACATCGAAAGTATAGAAGTATATCGAAAGTATAAAAGTATATCGAAAGTATAGAAGTATATCGAAAGTATAAAAGAATATCGAAGTACATCGAAAGTATAGAAGTATATCAAAGTACATCGTAAGTATAGAAGTATATCGAAAGTATAGAAGTTTATCAAAGTATAGAAGTATATCGTATCAAGAGTCCATTATAGAATTGTCTATTATGGACTCTTGATCGTATGAATACTCACCGTGTAGTTCGTCACATGAAAACCAGGTGGCGCCGGCAGGGCCGTCGAGATCGCCTGGCCGTCCTGCCCCTCGATGGCGACGTCGTTCAGGTTTGAAAAGAAAGGCGGCGGCAGGTTTACGTCGTCCGCCGGCTCGGCCCGGCTCAGCTCCAGGTAGAGAGTCTGTCCGTACGCGGAGCGCCGGTCGCCCAGGTACTCGCTCGTTGCGACGAAGAACAGCTCCTGCTCGTCCGTGTGCAGGATCCTCATCACGAACCTGCGGGCGTGCAGCCAGGGCCGGGTTTAGACGTGGTGAAGCACTAAGCGCAGGTGAGGGGGTGAAGGTGGAGGTGTGGGGTGGAGGTGTGGGGGGGAAAAGAGGTGGAGGTAGAGATGGAGGTAGAGGTGAGGGTGGAGGAAGGAGGTGTGGGTGGAGGAAGGAGGTGTTGGTGGTGGTGGAGGTGTTGGTGGAGGAAGGAGGTGTTGGTGGTGGTGGAGGTGTTGGTGGAGGAAGGAGGTGTTGGTGGTGGTGGAGGTGTTGGTGGTGGTGGAGGTGTTGGTGGTGGTGGAGGTGGAGGTGGTGGTGCGTGAAAAGCTGTAGAACCCCTGTTTGGCAATCTTGAACAGAGAATAAGGCTGTGTAATGACTGAACTTGGCAAGAATGCCACCGAGATGCATAACAAATCCATGTGAAAATGATGGGATAACATGGAGCCTGTCGGTGCCAGCAGTCGTTACAGAGTTAGCATGTAGTGCCAGCGCCTACCGCGTCTTGCCGCTGTGCTGAACGATGGGGTCGTGCATGGGCACGTCGCTATTAGTCATATATCGAGTAATATATCGATCATATGTCATGATTCGACATATTTGTCATTATTCACCCCCTAATAGTTACTATGTAGCGCTCCGCTTACCGCGTCTTGCCGCCGTGGTGAACGATCGGGTCGTGCACGGGTACGTCGCGCCCCTGCTCGTCCTCGCCCGTCCACGCCTCACCGAGCGCGCCCACGCTCATCAGCTCCCAGTCGCTGCGCGTCACGTTCACGAACCAGCCGCTCGCGTCGCTGCAGTTGTCCGAGTGTCCGCTGCACGTGCACTGTATGCAGCCGGCGTCCGACCACGCGCCGAGGCCAAAGTAACCTGTCAACGATCGCAGGGTGAGTTAGTCATTGAGTTATGATTGGTTATTATTATCAGGGTGTGTTGTTAGTCATTGGGTTGTTGTCGGTTATTCGTCGTAGGATTATGATTGCGTATTATTATCAGGGTGTGTTGTTAGTCATTGGGTTGTTGTCGGTTATTCGTCGTAGGATTATGATTGCGTATTATTATCAGGGTGTGTTGTTAGTCATTGGGTTGTTGTCGGTTATTCGTCGTAGGATTATGATTGCGTATTATTATCAGGGTGTGTTGTTAGTCATTGGGTTGTTGTCGGTTATTCGTCGTAGGATTATGATTGGTTATTATTGTGGTGTATT